AATTCAGCCATCCAAGTTTAGGAAACAAATACATTTTCTCCATAAAAAGGGAAAATAGTATTTTTAGTAGCTCACCAGTTTCAACAAGCCTTAAGTAACCATTTCCCACTAACTTGTGTGAAGGTGGATTGTTTCTTATTAAATTGTAAGAAAATGTATGAACAGGACTTCAGGCTTTGTGAAAACTGCCATTTATACTGAGATTAAATTACACATAGGTAAACTGTATTTACTAATTGGTTGACTTCTGAAGGCAATTGATTCCACTAGATTTTAATTAGAGGTATCGGAGTAAAGAGGGCTGAATACAAATGCATGCCACACTTTTCACATACAGGTGAAACTCGAAAAATTAGAATATTGTGCAAAAGTTCATTTATTTCAGTAATGCAACTTAAAAGGTGAAACTAATATATGAGATAGGCTCATTACATGCAAAGCAAGATAGTCCAAGCCGCGATTTGTCATAATTGTGATTATGGCTTACAGCTCATGAAAATCCCAAATCTACAATCTCAGAAAATTAGATTACATGCAATCAATAAAACAAGGATTGTACATAGAACAATATCAGACCTCTGAAAAGTATAACCATGCATATGTACTCAGTACTTGGTTTGGGCCCCTTTTGCAGCAATTACTGCCTCAATGTGGCATGGCATGGAAGCTATCAGCCTGTGGCACTACTGAGGTGTTATGGAAGACCAGGATGCTTCAATAGCTGCCTTCAGCTCTTCTGCATTGTTCAGTCTCATGTCTCTCATCTTTCTCTTGGCAATGCCCCATAGATTCTCTATGGGGTTCAGGTCAGGCGAGTTTGCTGGCCAATCAAGCACAGTAATCCCACGTTCATTGAACCAGGTTTTGGTACTTTTGGCAGTGGGGGCAGGTGCCAAGTCCTGCTGGAAAATGAAGTCAGCATCCCCATAAAGCTCATCTGTGGAATGAAGCATGAAGTGCTCCAAAATCTCCTGGTAGATGGCTGCGTTGACCCTGGACTTAATGAAGCACAGTGGACCAACACTAGCAGATAACATGGCTCCCCAAATCAACACAGACTGTGGAAACTTCACACTGGACTTCAAGCATCTTGCAGTGTGTGCCTCTCCATTCTTCCTCCATACTCTGGGTCCTTGGTTTCCAAATGAGATGCAAAAGTTACTCTCTTCAGAAAAGAGAACCGCTGAGAAACAGACCAGGTCTGTTTTTCTTTACCCCAGGTAAGACGCTTCTGACATTGTTTGTTGTTCCAGAGCAGCTTTTGAAGCCCATGTCCAGGATCCGTCTGTGTGTGGTGGCTCTTGATGCACTGACTCCAGCCTCAGTCCACTCCTTGTGAAAGCCCCCAACACTTTTGAATGGCCTTTTCCTGACAATCCTCTCCAGGCTGCTGTCATCCCTACTGCTTGTGCACCTTTTTCTTCCACACATTTCCCTTCCACATAATGTTCTATTAATGTGCTTTGATACAGCACTTTGGGAACATCCAACTTCTTTTGCAATTACCTTTTGAGGCTTTCCCTCCTTATGGTGGGTGTCAATGATGGTTTTCTGCACAACTGTCAGGTCAGCAGTCTTTCCCATGATTGTGATTCCTACTGAACCAACTGACAGACCATTTAAAGGCTCAGGAACCCTTTGCAGGTGTCATGGCTTAATTAGCTGATTAGAGTGGGACACTTTGAGCCTAGAATATTGCACCTTTTCACAATATTCTAATTTTCTGAGATTGTGGATTTGGTGTTTTCATGAGCTGTAAGCCATAATCATCACAATTATGACAAATCACGGCTTGGACTATCTTGCTTTGCATGTAATGAGTCTATCTCATATATTAGTTTCACCTTTTAAGTTGCATTACTGAAATAAATGAACTTTTGCACGATGTTCTAATTTTTTGAGTTTCACCTGTATTTGTAAAAAAAACTTGAAAACCATTTATAATTTTCCTTCCTCTTCAAAATTATGTGCCACTTTGTGTTGATCTATCACAAAATCCCAATAAAATACATTTACGTTTTTTGGTTGTAACATGACAAAATGTGGAAAATTTCAAGGGGTATGAATACTTTTTCAAGGTTTTGTACAGCAGTTTTCACAAAGCCTGAAGTCCTGCTCATACATTTCCTTACAATTTTTATAAAAAAACAATCCACTTTGACACAAGTTACTGGAAAACAGCTATTTTTTAAGGCTTGTTGAAAATGAGCTACTAAAAATACTATTTTCCCTTTTTTATGTAGAAAATGTATTTTTTGTTTCTTTAAACTTGAATGGCTGAATTCATATTAGAGCAGTTTCTGAGGCGGCGTCCATTTTTTCCTTTTGTTGGCAAAACACAGTAAATCATGTGTACACAGCAATGTGATGCAACACATTGAAACTATGCAGTTATCTCTGCTTATTTACAGATTACTAGCACAATCTTTCTGAAACCTCTCTTCATCAGTGCCAAGAAGGTCAGAACACCATCACCCCTGGGAATTAAAACACATGCCTCAATTCAGACTGGCTGAGAAAAAGGCTGCTAGTCCAGACTCTTAGAACTTCGCACTGCAATTATTAAAGGATAAGTTCACATTTTTAAAAAAGTAGTAAATTAACATTTTTTTTTTTGCTGGTAAAAAAAAATGTTCATTTTACTATTTTTGTCTACAGGAGCCTGGAAAGCATTGCACCAGCGATCAGTAAATTGCTAATGCCATGCAGGGCTCCTGCAGATGTCTTAATATTTGCTTGCCTTACGGGATGTATAAGCAATCAGATATTCTGACAGGAAACTTAAATGAACTACCACAACACTCCACTGCACCGTGGTAGTTCACTAAAAACGACAAGCCAACAGCCACTTAGGCTATTGGGACTTGCAGTTCATTAATTTACAGAAGTCCATGAATGCATGATGCGCCTGCGTGGGCGGAGCCCTGCACAGCCACGCTGTTTTCAAATGTGACCTAGTACGGGGAGACAATCTGTCAGAGGGGGGGTTGGCTGCGGCTATGGGAACATGTTACATGTTCCACCCTAAAAACGGATGTAACATGTTCTCAAAGGTGAACTTAAAATTGGTTGTAAAGGTTGAAGATTTTTTTACTTTCATTCTGTGCACGAAGGTAAAAAACCTGCTTTTTGCCGCTCACCCACAGCCCCCCACCCCCAATACTCGCCTGAGCCCCCCTCGGTTCAGCGGTGTGCAAGGGAGCCTCAGCTGTCTGTCTGGCTCTCTTCATTGGCTGAGACACAACACCAGGAGCCATTGGCTCTGCAGCACAGGCATCATTCAGAAAATGCTTTGTATTTTCTAAATGAATGCAAAGCGTTCTCTGGCTGAGGTGGAGAGTGTGATATCACAGCCTTGCCTCCCCATGCTTTCCAGAGATTGCTTTGCATCAGGCTGACCGCTTGGCATGGGACCTGGAAGGAAATGGAGATCACTGTTGTAGCAGTGGCTACTTGCAGGGGCATTAGGCAGGTATAGTATATGCATAGTTATGTTGGTAATTGGAATGGATAATATTTGCTAACTATACAACATCTAGTGCAGATACAGTGCATCCAGAAAGTATTCACAGCGCTTAACTTTTGCCACATTTTGTTATGTTACAGCCTTATTCCAAAATGGATTAAAAAATTTTTCCCTCAACATTCTACAAACAATACCCCATAATAAAAATGTGAAAGAAGTTTGTTTTGAAATCTTTGCAATTTATTAAAAAGAAAAAAAAAAAACCCTCTTGTGCATAAGTATTCACAGTCTTTGCCATGACTCTCAAAATTGAGCTCTGGTGCATCCTGTTCCCACTGATCATCCTTGAGATCTTTCCACACAACTTGATTGGAGTCCACCTGTGGGAAATTCAGTTGATTGTACATGATTAGGAAAGGCATAAACCTGTCTATATAAGGTCCCACAGTTAACCGTGCATGTCAGAGCACAAGCCAAGCCTTGAACTCCAAGGAATTGTCCATAGTCCTCCGAAACAGGATTGTAGCAAGGCACAGATCTGGGGAAGGGTACAGAAAAATTTCTGCAGCATTGAAGGTCCCAATGAGCACAGTGGCCTCCATTATCCATAAATGGAAGAAGTTTAGAACCACCAGTAATCTTCCTGCCTGGCCAAAATGAGCAATCGAGGGAGAAGGGCCTTAGCCAGGGAGGTAAGCTGATGGTCTCTCTGTAAGAGCTCCAGCGTTTCTCTGTGGAGGGAGAACAACCATCTCTGCAGCACTCCACCAATCAGGCCTGTATGGTAGAGTGGCCATACGGAAGCCACTCCTCCATAAAAGGCAAATGGCAGCCCGGCTAGAGTTTGCCAAAAGGCACCTGAGGGTCTCTCAGACCATGAGAAACAAAACCCTCTGGTCCGATGAAACAAATATTGACCGCTTTGGCCGGAATGCCAAGCGTCATGTCTGGAAGAAACCAGCTACCGCTCGCCACCTGGCCAATACCATCCCTACAGTGAAGTATGATGGTGGCAGCATCATGCTGTGGGGATGTTTTTCAGCGGCAAGAACTGGGAGACTAGTCAGGATCAAAGGAAAGATGAACGCAGCAATGTACAGAGACATCCTTGATGAAAACCTGTTCCAGCGCGCTCTGGACTTTAGACTGGGACGACGGTTCATCTTTCAAACAGGACAATGAATTGAATCCATTTTGGAATACGGCTGTAACATATGTGACAAAAGTTAAGCGCTGTGAATACTTTCTGGATGCACTATAGATAGCGAAATATATTTTTATGGATGCACAAGTGTAGATGTTTGGATGTCACAGACATATGCCTGTTCACGCACTTGGCAACAGCCTCAATGCAGGCCTGATCTCATGAGAATAGTAACAAATTGCCAAAGTAGCTTAATCCAACTCAACCTTTTTTGAAAATGGTTGAATTGGGGGGATAGTGACTTTCCTGTTCAGTGTGTGTGTGTGTGTGTGTGTGTGTTTTGGTTTCTTGTCTGTTTGTTTCATGAGGCTCATTCTTTTCTTTTTTTAGATGGACCATATGGGATATTTGCAGGCAGAGATGCTTCTAGAGGACTTGCAACATTTTGCCTCGATAAGGAGGCACTTAGAGATGAATATGATGATCTTTCAGACCTCAATGCTGTGCAAATGGAAAGTGTTCGAGAATGGGAGATGCAGTTTAAAGGTATTCATTTTGTATAATTTTGGATTTTAAAGCACTTGTTTGGCAGCAAAGGAAACGTGATTTTTTTTTTTTTTTTTTTTTTTTTTTTTTTAGGAAAAACTGAAAACAATTTTATATAGATATTTTCTACTTTTTACATGTAGCAAGCTGGCAGTTTGTGGACTTCATTTTCCCACAAATTCCTGTTTGGAGTAAAACACTGTTTTTTAGGAAGGTCAATAGCTCAAACCAAAATTCACACAAACAAGTGATGCAATGCTTCATGTTCCTTCCTTGTGCTGTGATCAGCTCTGTCCAAATTACAGTCAGATTGTGAGGGAGCTTGAAGCCAAACCACTTTTGTGTGCTGTTTAGGAAACCCGTAGGGCCCAAGTGTAATATGCTTCTAAATCGGTTATATATGGTTGCTAAAGCTCTCAAAACGTCTGCAAATATCTCTGCTCAGATGTGAATGCAGCCTTAAAGAAGCATTTTTTCATTCTACCAGAGATTGGTAGCTTTTTACTACCAAAAACGCATCTTATTGGTCCTGGTCCAAGTTAGATTTTGATACAGGATTTATATGGCACCAACAGTTTGATCCAATTCAAGGCAAGAGGGTTGGGAGGGCCCTGCATCTGCAAGCGCTTACAGCCTAAAAGGAAAGGGTTAGTGGTACAAAACGGTAATAACGGTGTGGGGATGGGTTGATAGAGAAGATAAGAGTTTGGCGATGGGATAGGCTTCCATAAGAAATGAGTTATCAGGGAATGCTTACAGACAGAGTAAGTATTTTACGTAACTGCAAAGTAGGAGATAGGTGAACAGATTGGGGCAGGGCCATGTTCTGGAGGTGACAGTATCTAACCAACCTCTGCCCAAAATCTTTATTTTGACCCTATGGGCAGATTTTGCTTTCAGGGTAGAGCAGGTTGTTGACAACCCAAGGGTTATAACTATCTGTTTAAAAACAAGCCACAAAATGTAAGTCAATTTTCATCTGCCCAAATGAAAATAAATCTCCTATGGATTTAATGGTTAAGAGTTTATTGAAGGTTATCAAATCTTTAAACATACCTGTGTTATGGTCTGCGGTCTTTTCATTTACATCTTTGCTAATAGCCTATGCACAGTGTTTGCTACATTAAAGGCATGTCTCTGGTGAGAACTCGGTTGTCAATATACTTTTGTCAGCTCTGAACCTAATTTTCAGCCCCTAAAATGGCTGTTCTCATAGCTGATCATGTGTGGAGCATCATGGAAACTGTAGATCTTAATAAAGATTTAAGATTGTGCCATATTCGTCTGTAAAGAATAGAAAAGTTACGTGCCATTATAAAAGATGTACCCCCTCTTCATACTGTCTATAAGAAGCAGGTTGCAGGCCACTTGGATGTGCTGACTACAGCCCTGTATAGGTTGATGTTGTGCAGCCCCATAAACAGCCGTCACCCCACACTAGAAGCTACTGTATGTAAACTGGTTTCTAACAATTGCTAGATATCCCAAAGAGTAATAGGAACAAACCTTTTTAAACCTCTTCTAAGGCAATTGTTTTGTTATTATTTAAAATGTTTTTGGCATCTGTAATTTATGATTTCACATCTGTCTGATTTTCCTTTTAACAGAGAAGTATGATTATGTTGGCCGATTATTGAAACCTGGAGAAGAGCCATCTGAATACACAGATGAGGAAGATGTTCGGGATCATTCAAAACAGGATTGAACTGTGTAAACCAAAGTCAGGGGCCTTTTAAGAATCTGCAACCTGTTACTTCCCACCAACACCCATGGACATCTTGGGTGGAATGTGTTCTCAACACTATTGCCAGATTTTGTACGAAGAAATCAGAATGATGACTTGAGGGTCTGTGAAAGATTTTAATACTAGCATTCTAATCTAAACTGCCAGCCATTTTTCTCCCCCGACACACAGTTGCTGTATCTGTGTAAGGAATCTTGGTCCAGGAGTACAATTTTGTGGGAAACTTGTGTATAGCTATACCTGTGTTGTATATGACAACTGTCAGCAGTAGCTCCATAATCCCCTGGTAGCCTGCACACCTAGCCAAGCGGTTTTCTACCATGGTACTGGCAGATGGTGATTAGAGGGCTTGAGGAGAGCATACGCATTGTGGTATCTTGGGTCTTTATCACTTTTTGACTCTTGTTAGTCTGCACTACTTAAACCAATGTTTTCAAGTGAAGTCCTCAAATTTGTATGTACATTTTCACTAGCAATTCCAGTTATTTGGTGTATTGGTGTGACAGTTCACCGCCAATCCTCAGGTATCCCCAACATGTCATATTTTTCACACTAGATCCAACTGTAATGATTACTTACCTGTGACACTGAATACATCTGGGGCTCATTTTTTTTTTTTTTTCACTATTTAATGAGTTATAGACCTGGAACAAATATGAGGGTCTGGAGTTTTGACTCTTGGCTGCATGCATGTTCTAGGCTTTTGACTCTGTAACTGAGTAATAAGGTAGAGATGTGAATGATAGCATAGATGCATAAACGCAGGCTGGCGACGTTACTTTACCATCTTCTATTGGGGCAGCTTCTCTTTAAATGCGTTGGTCCATCCCTACCATACTTTTTAACTATAGGATGCAATCTGCTGATTTCTGTCACCTTCACTTCTATTCCCTGTGTACTTTTAGTGGTGAGATCTCTGGTATCTGTCTCTCTAAACACTGCTTTAGTGTTTTGCTTCCTCTAATGTATGAAGAATGTTCCCACATCTTACAATTGTAATGAAAATATAAAACGTAACAGAGAGCAGAACCTCCTTTTTATAATGGCTGTAACAGGTGCAAGGAACTGAGAACACCCAGTTGCAGACTTCTTGCAAGTGACAGAATATTTCAAGGTGGGAAGCAACTGAGTGCGAACTACCCTGCACTAAAATACAATTTTAGGTGGCCACATCTTTAAAGAAATATTGTCAACATAAATTGTTGGGTGTATTTAAGATTTTTCCCTCCACGGTCAGACTGGCTTTGTGCCAACTTTGTCTAGTGATTTAAAGAGATTTTTTTTTTTTAATCCAATTGTATTGAAGGCAACATTTTCCAGCAAATGGTAGGATAGTGTTAGTCTGGACTCATGAAATCAATATGAACCACTTTGCTGCTGTTGAGGCCTTTTAACACATTGATGAAGCATACCACAGTCTTCTGCAGCAGCACAGTTGTTCCCTATGTGCCTTACTTCTTGTAAAGACTTGAATCGCTTTAAGGGAAATCATACCCAATATGTATTAGTTCAAGGTCACAGCTTTGATACTGAAGTCGGTGTTCTGTGTTGACTGGAAAACCTTGATAATGTTCTCTGTAAATAGAAAGGGGGGGAAAAAAAAGAATCTTCAGTATTACTGCCATATATATATATATATATGTTCATATACGTTAAGGTAGCATTCTAATGGCCAAAAGCACCCCTTCTTGTCCATGGCACTGCTTTATTTTGCTCAGAAAAGTTCAGTCTTCATGTTTATGTGGAGTAGTGAGTATGCTTGGGAGTGTGTATGGATGTGAGAGATGTGTTGAGGAAACTGTAAATAAGGGTACCATTTTAATAAAGCATGTACATTAAACCAAATCTGTGTCCCTTTCTATGAGCTTTGAGGATGGAAACTGCTAGCAGTATCATACCTTTATGTATTTTGTGGAATGACATTTGTGCACAGTAGATGGACTATCCAGAATTTGAATAAACTGCTTTGATATGATTTTCAGCTAGTTTGCTGCGCTGATTTATGAAAGCACTCTAAATTTACTTTCTAGATGGACTATTTTACATAAAATGCATTGGTTTCACTAACCTATGAATAGGTTTGCATGTTGTATCTCCTGAGGTATCTAAATGGCCCACACCTATAGCAAGGGCATTATTAAACTTTATTTAGAGCTTCACAGTTTCTCATTTGCATAGGCAGATTTTTGGTTAACCTCCCTGGCGGTCTGATTCTTTCCAATTTTTGGTGCTGAAAGCGGTACCATTTTTTTTGCATGGAAATATGTAGTTTTTTTATTGTAGGCTGTAATTTTTAGGAATAACTCACTGAAATCTGTCCGAACAAAAGTCTAGTAAACATCCCGGGTAGGATAAAATTTGAAACCCGAAATCATAAATTTATAATTTAATAAATAATCACAAAAAATAATATAATACATTTAATTCAATAATATAATCAAACCAAAAACACTGAAATTTGAAATATAGCGCCACAATAAATTTGCACATTGCTGAGCAAAGTCGCAAAATCGTTTTCAGTGTCTGATGACGAATTTCCCCACGAATCATTATCACTCAATTCTGCAAGTGGTTCTGATTTACTATCGCTGTTCTCTAGCTGGTCTAAACCGCTTTTGACCTAAAGGGACACTTTTTGGACGCCATGGACGTTTCTCAGTTTCCAGGCAGAAAGAACAGACAAAATGCAGGCAGGGCGCAGAACACAGCACTAGGGACAAAATGTATGTGAAATTGGTTGAGACAGCAATGTTTTACTATGTAAAATGTAAAAAAAAAAAAATGACATTTTTTAAATTTCCCGGCGACGGTGCCCGTACGTCCCGACGTCACAGGGACAGGACACAGAAGCCGGATGCTGGCATCGGCCGGAGGAGATGGCCGGGGACGCTGCAGGGGACACATCGTGGGAGCGCAGGGTAAGGTAAGTGAAGAACAAATGCCAGAGCAGTGCCGCATGGTAAGCCCGAGTGTAGCTCGGGGTTACCGCTCTTGGTACTGAAATGTTACCCCGAGCTACACTCGGGAATACCGCCAAGGAGGTTAAGGTGAAACATGGCCAAAATTAAAACTTACATATTTGATACAGTCTGCCACTAACATTAACACAGCAGTGTGTTGCAATCACCGCATTTTCCTTCTACATCACTCCAAGGCATCCCCTTGCTTTTGTTAAATGTTGCCAATTATTGCTTATTTTACACCCACTCAATGACTGGATTTATTTTTCATGGCATTGACAACAAAAAATTTAGTTTAACAAAGTTCTCCTTTTTAAGGTATGCTCAGAGGGTTAACTCTGTCTTTTTTTAGTCTGTTTTTTTTTTTTGGAAAAACATGCAATAGAATTATGAACAATCTATAACAACCTTTGTGAAAGAGACTGCTCACATGTCTTTTGTAACTTGGGAGCAATCTCTGTAACATATAGGCATTAATTGTGAAGTCCAGTTTTAAAGTAAAAAGATAGTTACCCTAAGCCTCGTTTTATACCAGTGTACAAAGAAGTGAGTTGTTCAAAAGCACAAAGAAAACCTTTTGTTCTCTATGTGCCCTGTTCACACCACAACACTAGTATCATGTGCAGATTTTTTTTTTTTTTTTCTACAATATAAGCCGATACCAGCATTTTTCAAAAAGTAGGATTTTTTTAACTTACAATTTTTCCCCCCCCCCCAAAGGTTAACCACTTGCCTACCAGGCACTTATACCCCCTTATTTACAAGGCCAATTTTCAGCTTTCAACGCTGCCGCACTTTGACAATTGCACGGTCATGCAACATTGTACCCATATGAAATTTTGTTCTCACAAATAGAGCTTTCTTTTGGTGGTATTTAATCGCCACTGGGCGCTTTACTTTTTGCGCTATAAATAAAAAAGGTGCAAAAAATTTGAAAAAAAAAAAAAAGTTTCTTTGTTTCTATTATAAAATTTTTCAAACAGGTAATTTTTCTCCTTCACTGATGTGCATTGATGAGGCAGCACTGATAGGCGGCACTAATGAGGTGTCACGGATAGGCGGCACTAATATGCAGCACTGATAGGTGACACTGATGATGGGTACTGATAGATGGCACTGACTGGCGGCACTGAATGGCACAACCGCTGGGCACTGACTGGCAGCACTGGTGGGTGGCACTGCTGGGCACAGGTAGGTGGCACTTCTTGGCACAGGTGTGTGACACTGCAGAGTGGCACAGGTGGGGGCACTGCTGGGCACTTGTCAGTGCCGATCCTCGCTCTGACAACTGCCGGTTCTCGGCAGTACTTTCCTCACGATCTGCAGCCGAGAACCGGCACTTGCATTTCCCTCTGATCAGCGTGTCATTGGACACCGCTGATCAGGTGGTAAAAGGCCACTGTGATTGGCCTTTTACCACATCATGTGATCAGCTGTGTCCGTAGGACACAGCGATCACGGAGATCGCCGGGTGTGCGCCCCCTGGGGCGCGCAGGAGAGCGCGTTCTGGTGGGACGTCATACGACGTCCACCCAGAACTGGCCGGCCGCAGTGCAGCCGCCATTCGGCTATCTGCGGTCGGCTACTAGTTAATACAGTCACCATATAACACCTTACACCCAGCATCCCTAGTAGTTTTGTGGAGAAGCATTACCAAGGGCAAAACAAAAAACAGGAGTGGGGCCTCTGTCTCTCAATGGACTCCCTGAAATATAATTTACTGTAACTACAAAAATCTTCTTTATTGCGGTATATAGAAATTGTGAAAGTCAGGACATATAAAATCAGTCCAATTGAGGGGTGGACAATAATTAAAGGTTTATAAAAAGGTTATGGGAACTGTCTAAAGTGAAGCCCTCAGCAAGAGTGGGAAAGTTGCCAATAAGCAAAGTAATTCATATGAAATTGAACAACCGCATCAAACATATGTCTTACGAGCCCCATAATTCTTTGTTGCTGATGATACTTTGATAACAAGAAGACAACGCCTTTCGGAGACATAAATTCCCCTTCATAAAGGCTGAAAAACAAAATCTTCAATTAATGACAATGGAACTGGGAAATAAAATTAGTACAAGCAAATAGACTATGCAGGATCAACCTGATGCTCAAGACCTACAAAGCAGAGATTACTACCAAGGGGAAATGCTTCACCTGAAGGAGCACTGAGCCTGAATAAACTGGCTTCAAGCCCCACAGTGCGATTTAGGCTCTAGGGGCCTACGAGTATCTGCTGCCAAAGTAGATGAAGGAAAAGAGCAAATTCTGCTGTAGACTGGCGTTGAGGCAAAAGCACTCTGGCCACCCATAGCATTGCTAATCATGGAGTCAAGAGTAGGTCCAAAGAGGCGATATCTCTTTTAGGATCAATTGAGTTGGCTACAGCATCAGCAGCCCAACTATGCAGCAGAGTATAGCATCAAGTTAATTAAACGCTTGGGATTTGTATCAAAATAAAAAAAATCTGTATCCAAATAAAAACATTTTATTTGCCTACAAATGGATACATTTGTTGCAACTGCAAAACTTTTTCATATAAAATATAATAGCGGACTGGAATTCTTCTAGGTCACGGCTCATGCGCAGATTTTTTATCGGTGAAACGATCGGCCAATTTGCCCATCATTGCCGGGAAAATCGGGCAATTGTCAAAATTGGCCGCAAATTTTCCAACATGCCCGATAAAATGTGCAAAAACCCCAAAAAACGGCTAACCAATTAACCCACTAACGGTTTGAAAATCGGCCGTTTTTTTTTTTTTTTTTTCCAGCTGAAAAATTGGCAGATTTTCAACCCATCTCTGGCCGGCATTAACAAAGACATGTTGTGTCCGCACAGCAGTATGCAATTGTGCGAAGTGAGACAAGGCCTCAGGTATACACAATCCATGTAGCCCTTCAGGAGCAAAAGTGGCATGGTTCTTCCTCCAAGCCTAATAGCAGGAAAGTGAATGGTAAATCCACTGGTGATAGAAGTTTTGAAAAGGCACCTCACAGTGCAAACAGCTTTCGATACTTAAAGCGGAACTTTAGTCAGAAAATTAAATCTTGCTAGATCACTTCAGGCTGGCCCCTTTAAAAGGTATCACTATGTAAAATATAAAAAATGAAGTGTCTATACTGTGTAAAATCCAGTAATACAATTGTCTTGCGTTGCTCTCCATTTTTTAGGCACTGCTGAATTTGTAGAGGCTAATCTGCTGCCAGCCTTAAAGCAGAAATTAACCCTCATCCTTTACAGCCAAGGAAGCTACTTCTGTTTGGTCTGCAACTGCCACAGTACTGCACCTCTGATCAGCTATGACACCAGCCATTTGATGGTTTGGTTGAGGACACAAAAATGTGGTTTTATTTAAACCACTAAATCGATGGGTTAAGTTACGCTTTATGATTTACTGCTGTTCAGGGGCTCTGGGCTTCAGCAAAATCCCAGCTAGAAGAAACAGGAGCAATGCTGGAGGCAATTTACAGCGCACACTAATTTTGGTTGCATTAAAGTACATTATTTTCTAAGTAGTTATGGGTAAAGTTCTGCTTTAAAGTATAGCCAAAGCTCTTTTAGCCATATGTCTCCTGTGAGTCACAGGAATGCACTTACAGTGCGGAAAATAATTATTTGATCCCCTGCAGATTTTGTAAGTTTGTCCACTTACAAGAAAATTAAGAGTCTATAATGTTTATCATTGGTGTATTTTAAATGATAGAGACAGAATATCAACCACAAAAATCCAGAAAAAACATGATACAAATGTTATTTTATTCACTGAACTGCAATTCAACTTATAAGTATTTGATCCCCAAGCAAAACACGACTTCGTACTTGGTGGATAAATCCATGTTGGCAAGCACAGAGGTAAGATGCTTCTTGTAGTTGGTTACCAGGTTTGCACACATCTCAGGAGGGATTTTAGTCCACTCTTTACAGATCTTCTCTAAATCCTTAAGGTTTCTTGGCTGTCACTTGGCAACTCAAAGTTTCAGCTTCTTCCATAAATTTTTGATAGGATTAAGGTCTGGAGACTGGCTAGGTCACTCCATGACCCTGATGTGCTTCTTCTTGAGCCACTCCTTTGTTGCCTTGACGGTATGTTTTGGGTCATTGTCATGCTGGAAGACCCATCCACCACCCATCCAGTGTTCTGGTTGAGGGAAGGTGGCTCTAATCCAAGATTTTACAATACATGGCCCCGTCCATTAGCCCCTTCATGTGGCAAAGTTGGCCGGTACCTTTAGCAGAGAAACAGCCCCAAAGCATAATGTTTCCTTCTCCGTGCATGACTGTAGGGATGGTGTTCTTAAAGTCATAGTCAGCATTTTTCTTCCTCCAAACATGTTGAGTTAATGCCAAAAAGCTCAATTTTGGTCTCTTCTGACCACAGCACTTTCTCCCAGTCCTTATCTGAAACATGTAGATGCTCATTGGCAAACTTCAGACGGGCCTGTACATGTGTCTTCTTGAAGAGGGGGACCTTGCGGATCCTGCAGGATTTCAATCTAGGTCAGCATATTGTGTTATCAATGGTTTGTTTGGTGACTGTAATCCCAACTGCCTTGAGATCATTCACAAACTCCTCCTGTGTAATTCTGGGCTGATCCCTCACTTTTTTCTCACGATCATTCTTACCCCATGAGGCAAAATCTTGCATGGAGCTCCAGACTGTGGGCAATTGATGGTTATTTTGTATTTCTTCCATTTGCAAATAATCGCTCCAACAGTTGTCTCCTTCTCACCAAGCATCTTGCTGATGGTCTTGTAGCCCATTCCAGCCTTGTGCAGGTCTACAATCTTCTCTATGATGTCCTTTGACAGCTCTTTGGTCTTGACCATGGTGGAAAGGTTTGAACGGAAGAAAGATTCTGTGGACAGGTGTCTTTTATACACATGACGAGTTGCCATTAGGAGATTAGTGCTGCCAATTCAAGAAGGTACTGTGTACCACATAAGCACATAGCCAGTATGTTGGAGCCAGCATTATTGTTGGTTGGTAGATCAAATACTTAATTTTACTCACTAAACTGCAACTCAATTTAGAACATTTGTATCG